CATCTTTCATTTTTGGCTTGAAATTTTTTAATTTGCAAAAATCAATGGTTAACCAAAAATGTGGGAGTCAAATCGTACCCCACTACCCGAATTCTTCAAATCGCAATAAAACGTTTCGCAGGAACGTGGATTCATGCAGATATACGAATTGTTTGACAATGTCTGGTCCCTAGTTTTACTCTTTCCCCCGCACTTAGATTTTTGAGCTTGTGATTCGTGAACGCCAATGGTAGGTTCTATTTCATAACTCTCCCTCTGATGTCTCTACGCATAGACTATGAAGTGGGTTTTTGTTGTTATTGTTGTTTTATTTTTTGTTTGTTGTTGTTGCTGGTTTTTGTTGTTGTTGTTGTTGTTGTTGTTGTTGTTGTTGTTGTTGTTGTTTGTTGGTGGTTGTTTTTGTTTGTTTGTTTGTTTGGGGGTTGTTGTTTTTGTTTGTTTTTTTGTTTGTTTGTTTGTTGTTGTTTGTTTGTTGTTGTTGTTTTTTGTTGTTTTTTTTGTTTGGGAGGGGTTGTGTTTGTTTCTCAAGTCGAAGATGAAACGAGCAGGATGAAGACAAAAGAATTCGATCTACCTATAATAGGTTTTGACCTTCGTCATGCAGACCCCATACAAGAGAGAGTTGCGGCTCCTAACGTCTGTCTTTCTGCCTGTCTGCCTGCCTGTCTGCCTGTCTGCTTGTCTGTCTGTCTGTCTGTATGTCTGTCTGTCTGTCTGTCTGTCTGTCTGTTTCTCTCCCAAAAAACATGCCTTGGTACACCCCGAACGTCAGAGTGTCGACAAAGTCCAAGTCGCACGGTACGGTGAAATCAGGCGCTCGTCAAACTTTGGGCATATACATATGGAGTTCTTAGTATCCTCTATAAGCTTGTTCTTTTGTCTTATTTTTTATGAGAAGAAGCTCCCATCTATCCTGAATAGAAGTATAGAAATCGGGATATTTGGGAAAGAAGGGGGTAAGGGCCGCCTGGTGTCAGAGGTAAAAGTAGCGAGCAAATGGCTGGCATTGTTTGATGACCTCGAAAGCTTGGGGTCTTTGAAAACTGAAAATTTCCTTTTTCGTGCCTTTGATCAACGTTTTTAGATTTAAAAAATCTGCGTGGACGTAAAAGGTGCTGAGCCCAAATTTTTTTAAAAATAATAATAATTCGATAAAAATTGCCCAGCGTGCGGAGAAAATGCTGTGTCTTCGTTGTCTTTATTTTGACGATCGCGCGGTTTTAACACGATGCCACATAATTTAAAAGTGCGTCTCAGCGACCAGGTGCGTTGTTGTAGTGTTTGAGTTAAGATCTCTTAACCATTGACCTTCGTGTTGACAAAATGATAACCCAGATAAGCAGGCGAGATATCTGCACCGACGTGCGCGCTTGTCCAACGTCAATTCCAATTGAAACAGTCACGAGAATGCCTGTCAACAAACACCCCAAAAAAAAAAAATTGTGTGTAGCATTTGTGTCACGACGCGATGGAATCAGCTGTCGTCAGTTTTGAGGCTTATAAAAGTTATTGCGGCATCGTCTTGTTCATTTGTATTGCTTTTGTGGAAAAAATATCTAGCTATCTTGAAGGAAAGTTGAGATATTTAATGTGTGATTGAAGGATGCGGGGGTCACTCTGTGTCAACTTTACAGTTAGCGAAGAAAATGACAACTAGAGTTTGCTGACTTCCAAACTTGAGTGTCCTTGGAAACTGCACATTTACAGCTTTTGATCTACGTTTTTTCGGCAAAATCTACGCAGAAATATGTTTTAAATGGACATAAAAAGTGTCGAACCATAAAAAAATTTAATTCGAAAGAAATTGTACAATGGCCAGAAACGTGCCGGTTTCTTTGATTTCATTATTTTGACGAGCGCCTGATTTCATCACGATTCTTCACATTTTCGCTCATTCCTTGCACAGCAGGGGGTGTGTCAATGCAACGTGTGTAGCTTCTGTATACACAGTCAATGTGTGTAGCTTCTTTAAACGCAGTCGAAATTGTCCAGGAAGCCCATACATTATCGAGAAGATTTATAAGTGATTGTCTTAGCCAAGTGAACGTTTTGGACAGTATCATTATTATACAGAGAAAAAATATACCGTTATTATTATTTTCTAACGTACTGTAGTCTCCTCCTGGTGAGTGGCGTCAATAGCCTAGTGGTTAGGCTACCGGACTCGTAATAATGAGATTGCGGGTTCGGGGGTTCGAGCCTCAGCTCGGCCCTACGTTGTGTCCTTTGGAAAGGCACTTAACACGAATTTCCCACCTGGCTTGGTCCCTTCGGAGATGGACGCTAAACTCGGAGGTACCGCCTCTTAAATAACCCAACAGAGTTGGTAGTGGCGTAAAACCTACACCATTTCACCATTTTCACCTCCTGGTGACGCAAAGTGATCTGTGTGATGGGGGTGAGGGTCAGGGGTCAGGGACGAGGGTCCAGGAGGGGGGAGAGAGGGTGTATAGTACATGTATCATTTCAACGATAGATCAAGGCTTTTTTTATTTCGTAGATGCCAGTTTTTCTCCCTATACGCTTCAAATCGAGCGCATAGTTTAACACATGTCCACCAAACGCATTATTATAGTGAAAAATCATTGGCGCCACACACCAGTTTGGAGAACACAAGGTAAAAGTAGTGGGTTCAGAAAAATGAGCATTGCTCTCCTTAACTTATAATGTAATAGATAGCATAATTTGTATAGCACAAATCCCCGCTAAACAGCAAACTGTATTCGCTTCACAATCTATACTATTACCCCTGTAGACCTGTTTGCATTCTGAAGCAACCTCAACTTCTTGGGAAGCATACGGTGCAAGCAGCCATTTATAGGCACTAAGACACTACCATACTGACAAGATCTTTCGCTGTCTATGGCCGGGTACCCATTCCCATCTGGGTGAAATGAGGAAAATTCGTGTAAAGTGCCTTTCCCAAGGACACAACGTCGGGTCCGCGGCTCGAACCCCCGAACCAGCAACCTTACGATTACAAGCCCGGTAGCCTAACCACTAGGCCACCGACGCATCGATCATCATCAAACTTGGAGAACCGTTTTAGGCCTAAGAGTGAACCAGGTTTTTATTTAACTTTGTCTTAAATTTGAAACGTGGCGTTCGACGGAGTCTTTCTACACTGAGCAATGGAAATGCTGATGAAATAAAACAGAGCCTCTAATTTTGAACTGCTGGACCCTCACCCCTATGTGCAACATTCGGGTGTCACTGTGGGGTTGGCGGTATGTCTTACTTGTACTTTACTTTTTCTTTTAGTACTTTTACCCAAACATGTGCATATTCGTGAATTTCTTTTGCCCTTTCCTTCTTGAATATTTGGTATTCTTTGTATATATATATATATATATATATGTGTGTGTGTGTGTGTGTGTGTGTGTGTGTGTGTGTGTGTGTGTGTGTGTGTGTGTGTGTGTGTATAGTCGTGGTTCAATTTATTTATTTATTTATCTATTTATTTATCTATTTATTTATCTATTTATTAATTTATTTAGTTATTTATTTACATATTAATTAATTTATATATTTATTTATTTCATTTTTTTTAAATTTTTTTTTTTTTTAATATTATTATCCATTCTCCCACGTGTGCAGGCCTGAGCCCAGAGCTCCGGTCTATGGAGCAGATCAAGAGAATCGTGAGACCAACTGACATTCCCGATGAGGGTCTTCTAACCGACTTACTCTGGGCAGATCCGAACCCGCACCACTGCGGATTTGAACGCAACATCGCTCGAGGAATCTCCTTCACCTTCGGCATGGACGTCCTGAGTCGGTTCCTTGAGAGACATCAGCTTGAGCTGGTCTGTCGCGGGCATGAGGTGACGTGTTTGTGTTCACTGTATTGAAGATGTACGGGTATTTCATTTTATTTCTTATTGTTGAAACTTTGTCTATCAAAGGAAATTGCGTTTATATAGCGCATATCTCTTCTCAAGATCATGTTCTATGCGCTTTACAACTATTATTACCCCAGCACACCCTCTGAGAACACTCAGACACATTCTCGCTTCTGCGGAAGCATACCGTGCAAGCTGTGGATTTCAAGCTATCAAACTGACAATATCGTTCACCGTCTATAGCTGAGTACCCATTTTCACGCGGGTGAAGTGAGGAAAATTTGTGCAAAGTTCCTTTCCCAATGACACCACGTCGGCCCCTGACAAGATTCGAACCCACGACCTTACGGTTGCGAGTCCGAGAGCCTTACCACTAGACCACCGACGCCATTTAAAAATGTTTTTGATAAGCTTATGTATGCCATTTATGATTTAGGCTGTTTTCACAGAAGTCTGTTCTATTAATTGATCCTAGTATGCTTTATGTGATGTGGGCCAATAGCCTTAAACATCGAATCACCCCCGACCCGAAAAAAATAATACAATAAAATTACAAAGACTAAAAAACAGCAACAACAACAACAACAACAACAACAACAACAACAACAACAACAACAACAACAAGAAAACCCTGCTAACGATGACGAAGTATAGAAACAACATCACTGTTCTCCACTTCTTCCTTCATAGGTACCCCCAGAGGGCTTTCGGTTCCTCGGCAAGAAACAGTTGGTCACATTGATCTCAGCGCCTAACTACGGCGGTCTCCATGGCAACGACGGGGCCATCATGCATATCGACAAAGATCTGATGTGCTCTTTCAAGGTACAGTGAAACCTGCTCTAACGACCACCTGTATAAGAAAATCACCTGTACAAACGGCCACTTCTCACTTCCTCCCCTGCGTATTTTTTTAACGTTATAATAATGACATTGTATGAGACGGTCACCAGTCTAAGACTGCTAGGTTTTCATTGACAATAAGTAGCCGTCTTAAATGACAATGCCAATTCATCTCGCAGGGAGAAATTTGTCTTGGTCGTTTACAAAAGCAGTTGATGTTACAAAGGTTAGGTGCACTCACGCGTACGCAGAACAAGACAGGACGTTCGTAGTAAATTATACAATATTCACGTGCTGAAACAACCCATTCCGTTAAACATTCTCTCTCTCTCTCTCTCTCTCTCTCTCTCTCTCTCTCTCTCTCTCTCTCTCTCTCTCTCTCTCTCTCTCTCTCCCTCTCCCTCTCTCTCTCTCTCTCTCTGTGTGTGTGTGTGTGTGTGTGTGTGTGTGTGTGTGTGTGTGTGTGTGTGTCTGTGTGTGTGTGTGTGTGTGTATGTTTCATTTGTAGCACTGTGTTTAGTAACTTCACTGCAGCTGATATGAATGAATTTCAGTATCTGTCTGTTTTTTTTTGCTTTTTCGGAAATATATCGTTTACTGCAGGTCGATCATTTAAATCCCGATGTCAGTGGTTGGCTGTATGTTTTGTGTGACTCAGACAAACTTAACCCTATCCGTTCGCCTTAGTCGTTTTTTTTTGTACACCCGATGTTGTATTCTTCACATTTTAGAATACTTCTAGGACGAACATCTCTTTGAAACTTTTAGTATTTCTCAAAAACAAATCATTTTGACTGACTGCTATGCAAAGCGTACGGATCGGATTAACCAGTAAATTTCCTCTTTGGAAAGTGGTGGCACAGGGTTCCCCTTGTCGTATGGATACGATAGTGAACATGACGTACGGACAGGGTTATGCTCTTCCTGTTTCAAAGCACGATCTGTCAGATATAGTGCTATATACCCTGATAGATGAGCCCCTTCTTTCAATCTGTAACCTCTTTCTGATTAGTGTTTATCTGCTGACTTCATCTTTTATTCTGCGTTATGTTTTTGTCTACATTTTGATATGCTCTCCGTTCGCTCAGTTAATGCCCTGCTATACTGTAGAATGGGTTGTCCTTTTTGTTGTTTGTTTTTTGTACCTTGCCTATTTATATGAGATTGATGCCATCTGATTTATATAATTAGTATTTTAAAAAATTTTAAAAAGAATAAAATATTTTTAAAAAGCGTGTGATGATAGTGTCCAATAGTAGGCCATATTACGTACATACTTAGTATAACGTATAACGGTTACAGATAGAGATTCAAGGAATATAGATGTTAGTCAAGGATCTGAGAGCAATGCTGATTTTCGAAATAATGGTGGTGATGAGTGATGATGTGGTATTGTGCGTATGTAATGTTAGCGTTAGTCCCATCTTCCTCTGCTCCAATGAGTCACGAGTGACGTTGACGTCCTCTATCCCTTTCCCTACGGAAACCACCTTTAACGTCACCGTGAAGTTCCGAAATGGTAGGCACAGTCTCTGCTAAGGTGACATTGTTAGTGTTAGCCTCTTCTATCGAGCCAAGACAAGTGACGAGAGGACCTAAGTAGTAGGTAGACAGTACAGTTGCAGGTATGTTGGGGTCTTCGTAAGCGGGTTGTAGGCAGCAGGTTGACAAACAGGTTATATGGACTTAAAAATGCCCAAACTGGGCGTTCTTGAAATCATGGCGTTTTGAGGAATTTTCAAGGCACTGAACGGGAGTCAACCCTCTTGGCTCGGTCATGTCGCAGACAGACGTTAAATTGGGTGCCGCCTCTTAAATAACCTAACAGTGTCGAAAAGAATGTTAAGCCCATACGCTGACACGCTTTTTTAATTAAATGCATGAACAGCTTTTTTGCCTTTATCTACTATCTACTTACTTTTTTCACTTTTTTGTCCCTGTCCATCCTCCCAATTTCTTCTCCTCCTCCTCCTCCTCCTCCTCCTCCACCACCACCACCACCACAACAACAACAACTACTACTACTACTACTACTACTACTACTACTACTACTACTACTACTACTACTACTACTACTACTACTACTACTACAACTACTACTACTACTACTACTACTACTACTACTACTACTACTACTACTACTACTACTACTACTACTACTTCCTCCTCCTCCTCGCCGCCCCCCCCAAACACACACACACACACACACACACAAACACACACACACACACACACACACGCACACACACACCTTTCCACCTCTTCCTCCTCCCTTTTATTTCATAATTCCACAAAGCTTAACAACACTCTTCTTCCCACTCCCACCCTACTCCATTACCAGATCCTGAAGCCAGTACCCAAAAAGTCTGTGTACCGGTTCACGAACCGCGCTCTCTCGGTGGACACGGACTTTGTGTCTGTTGTCACAGACTCGGCAGACCAGCAGGGCCTTCAGGAGACGCCACCCGGTGACGTATCAGGGGACAGTCATGACATCAACGGTACTAGCGATGACGTGTTTGATGGTGATAACAACAGTAACAAGCACGCAACTGTTGGGAAATCTCACTGTTGGGAGACGACGAATGAGTCACCAGAACCGGTCGTGACCCAGGACACAGGGGAAGAAACTCGCCCTGGACACAGGGTCAACTCGTCGAACAGCTCAAAGAAAAATGTTAAAGATGGAACAAACGACGGAAAAGATCTTGAGAATAACGGTGAGATTTTTACACCGGGGAAGCCAAGGCGCCGTTCATGGCCACGCAGGGGCAGCTGGACCGGTCGGAATTTCTGGGACCTTTTTCTTCCCACACCTTCCAATGTTCAAGTTCACAGCGTAGACTTGAAATCCAGCCCTGAAAGTGTACACGGTGTTGGTTTTCTACATAGTTCCTCACAACTCGCGTCCAAAGAGGAGATGAAGAATTATCTGGAACAATATCTATACGAGGAAGACTTCAAGTCCACTTCTCAAGAACATAACGTGGAAGGTGAAGGTCGGTCTTCTACAACAAGACATAGGATGTCTCACTCCACGCGTCTGTCCCGTCTGTCTGCCAACATAGCTCGTTTGTACCAAGACTTGACGCGGCGATCTGGAAACAGACAGATGAAGAAGAAAGAGTGGGCTCTCATGTGTGAGGAGATGGCCAGGGAAATCATGTATGCCAAAGCAGAAGTTGAGACTGACGTGGAGGAGAGTGTTGAACTCGACGACGTATGGGGTGAGTTCGTGTCTGTAAAGAACAAAAACCTCGGAAAGACCACGTCTTCCCGTGACGCCATTGACGGGCGTCATCAGTTTGGGTTGTCACGGGACACCTACATCAGTGATGATTGGACGAGAGAGAATGCACTCCTCTACCAATCAACGATGAGTCTGATGAAGAGGGGAAGCGACCCTATGGAGATAACAGATGAGAAGGAGAAGAAGGAGGGGGAGTTTGAGAGGAGCAGAAGTAGCAGCGTCAGTCTGGGGTTGTCCGGGAATGTGAATGAGACTGACCGGGAGTTGTCTAGTTCTCAGAGTTATGACGGGTGTTTGCCCACCGTTGTGGTGGTGGACTGTTCCGGAGACAGCCTCTATGTGGACGTGGAGGAGAGTCAGGAGACGGTGGCCATTGAGAACAGCGGAGAGTTCGCTGCTCTACAGAACATGTCGGTGTGAAACAAGCTGAGAGAGAGAGAGAGAGAGAGAGAGAGAGAGAGAGAGAGACAGACAGAGACAGAGACAGGGAGTGTGTGTGTGTTTATGAGTGAGAGTGAGAGAGAGAGAAAGAGACAGAGACAGAGACAGAGAATCAATGTAGTGTGTGTATGAGAGAGAGATAAAGAGGGTGATTATTAATTAATGTGTGTGGGAGAGAGAGAGAGGAGGAGGGGAGAGAGAAAGAGAGCAAGAGAGAGAAAGAGAGAGAGAGGGGGAGAAGAGAGAAAGAGAGCAGGGGGGGGGGGGGCGGGGGCC